TTATTTTGATATATCACAGTGAAAGATTTATCGTCCTCTTTTTTTTTTTTTTTTTTTTTTTTTTTTTAAAAAAAAAAAAAAAAAAAAAAAAAAAAAAAACAAATTTAAAGTACAAAACCAGAAAAAATTTTTACGCATTCACAGGATAAATAAATTAACCAACCTAAAAATCCCTCATAGTATGTGTAGTTATTTGAATTCATTACAATTAGTAGTATCTGCTAATATGTGAAGGGTCAGCAATATCAACAGCACAGGCATGTCAGAATCGTGTTTAGTGGGTTGGAAGGTCATTAAATGTGCAAATATGAAGTGTTCTAGATTAAACATTAATGTGTATGTGTGTACTGCCTACATGTGTGTTAAGTGCACCCACATTGTGCAGTACCGTCAGAGGGCAGAAGGGGGTGTCGGATCCCCTGGAACTGTAGTTACGGACAGTTGTTAGCCACCCTGTGCTGGGATTTGAACCCCTTCCTCTGCGAGAGCAGTCAGTATTCTTAACCGCTGAGCCATCTTTCCAGCCCCAATTAAACATTATTAGATGTCTGTTTCTTGAGGCCCTCACCTCCCCCTTTAAACAATCTCTTTCCTCTCCTCACCCTGCCTTGTAAAGACTCGTTTTGTATTGTATGGCACCAATTGTGAATTAACAAGTTGGTGATAATTAGCAATAGTGGATCCAGTTATAATGGGGTTGAATGGTTCCATGACCTCTACTGTTTTGAAAACACAGTTCAGCTGGAGTCAATAGAGGAAGCAGCCTTTTGTTTATCCTACATTCCAGAGCCCCTGGCGCTCTGTGCTGGTTCGGAAAATGTGGAGGGAAGCGGGCAGCAGCCTCGAGTCGGCTCCGTGGAGCATGCTGCCACCTCCTGGCCATACAAGGTAGGGTGGCTTCAGAAGGTCCTCCTAGATTTAGGGTATAATATCTCAATTCCACTAACATATTACACTTTTGAACACAGAAATTTAGGTTCTTTATGTCTAAAAATGTCATTCAATGTTTAAATCATAAAGAAAAAATTCTTACAACATTCTGAGGAACCAAATGATCTCGAATAATTTCTGTAACTTGAACGCAAAGATGAAGGGTTAACTCTCTACAGCTATTTGAGTTTCAAAAACAAAGAAAATTAGCCTTGGAGAACTTGTTTACTCGGATTTTGTAGTGACTCGTTAAGATTCAGATTTCTTGGGGGCTGGAGAGATGGCTCAGTGGTTAACAGCAGTAGCTGCTGCAGAAGACCTGGGTTTGAATTCTGGCACCCACATGGAAGCTAACGCCCTCTTTTGTCCTCTGTGGGCATTGCACGATGTGGGTGCATTTGCACACATGCAGGCCTAACACTCATACACACACACACACACAAATTCAGTTTTTTTTTTTTTTTGTCTTTTTTGAGACAGTTTCCCTGCAGCCCCAGCTGGCCTGAACTCCCTATGTAGACCAGGCTGGTCTTGAACTCACAGAGATCCACCTGCCTCTGCCTCCCTTTGCTGGGATTAAAGGTGTGCAACATCACGCCCG